TTTTTTTTTTCTTCTTCTTCCATCAAAAATTTCCCTTTTGTTTTTCCCCTCATTTTGTTGCCCTTGAGTTTTCCAAGAAATGCCATTTACTCTTTCCTCCATTGCATTTGCGTATACTTTAAATTTTTTTGGACAAGTTTGAAAATCCTAACACGAAAAATAAACCCCAACAAAACAAAAATCTTGGTCATTCAAAAATGCCATTAAGGAGCTGGGAGTTGCTGTGTCCAGTATTTTGGGAGGTAGGTTGCACTTCAGGATGGGAGTGATTTGCTTCTTCCCCTCTACAGAAGATTAACCTTTTTTTTTTTTTTAATAACAGAAACCCCAAATAGGGGATTCTCAGCTAACCTTCCTCTTAGCGGCCCTTAGGCAGCCTGTCAGGTCTTGGCATCTTCCTCCGAGGCCTCATGTAACCCTGAGCCAACTGGAAGCCGTGTACAAGTTGCTGTTGTTCGGATGAACGTTCCTCCTTCCCGACTTCTCAGGTAGCTTCTGTGGTTAAAGCCAAGGCTACTGTGAACAGCCGGTACCTGAGCAGGAAGAAGTACTCCCATAGTAGAGGGGTTGACATACATCTCCACTCCACTCTGGCAACAGGCATGTTTCTTGGTGGTTTTATTCAGATGTAAATGTACTGCTGGCTGAGAACCAACATGGTGGAGCAACCGAGAACCATCTCCAGAGGCTAGTTTTTTTAAAAACACAGAAATATGTTTTTTTCCAAGTTTCTGTGGTATGTAAGCTGGCCTGTTAAGGCCTTCCTTTGTGGCCTCAAGCACAGAAAGGGCATAGCAGAATCCAGCATTGCTTGATGTGACATGCTCAATACTGGCAAAACATCTGTGATGACAGCCCGGTTGTTATTTTGCAGACAGCTGTGGAAATGGAGGTCCTTCACCTTCCCCAGCTGGTCTCCTGTCCCTCTGCTGCACGTTGCTGCTCCCGCAGCTCTGCCAGCAGTTCACGTTAGCCCCCGATCCTCGAGCGAGGGCGAGGTCTATTTAACATCGCCGTTAATGACCTGGATGAGGGAGCAGATTGTTTGTAGATCGTGCCAGATGTGGGAGAGCAGTCAGTATGGTGGAAAGCACAGTTGCCATTCAGAGCCGCTTTGGCAGGTTGGGAAGATGGACTGACAGGCGCCTCGGGAAGCTCAGCAAAGGCAAAAAGTCCTGCACCTGGAATGGAGTAAGCCCCTGGAGCGGGACAGGCCGGAAAGCAGCTTCGCAGCAAAGGCCAAGGTGGACGTGAGTCAGGCAGAAAGGCCAACTGCGTCCCGGGCTGCGCGAGCAAGCGTAGCCGGGAGGGTTGAGGGGAAGGGAGTCTTCCCTCTGTTTGGCCCTTGTGAAACCGCAGTCCTGTGTCCAGCCTGGGGCTCTGCAGTGGGAGGAAGGCGCTGGCATACAGGAGCACGTATTGGAGTGGGGAGCTGTAGCGTACCACGGAGGAGGAGAGGCCAAGGAGACTGAGTATCTTCAGCCCTAAGTAGTGATCTTGCTGCAGGCCTACAACTACTTACTGGGAGGGTGTAGGGAAGGTGGAGGCAGATTCTTCTCAGGGTACGCAGTGGAAGGACAAGAGGCAATGGACAGAGGGGAAATTCTGAATAGATCGAAGGAAAAAAGTGTTCGTTATGAGGGTTATCGAATACTAGAATAAGTGCCCAGAGAGGCTGTGGGACCCTGGGGATGTGCAGACCCAGACTGGACATGGCTCTGAGCACCCTGCTCTTGTTGGCCCTGGTTTGAGCAGGAGTTTGCACCGGAGCCTTCCAGAGATCCCTTCCGCACAGGGGGTCTGTGATGACAGAGGTCACTGCTCGAAGCAGGGCTAACCCCAAATTTAGGCTCAGAGCCCTGTCTGGTTGACTTTTGAATAGCTCCAATGATGGAGAGTCCACAGCTACTCTGGTCCCTTTTACAGTGTTTGGCTGCTCTCATTGGGCCCAGGCCACGGGGTGAGGGTCAGCAAGGCTCAGGGCCGGGTCCTGCACTGGGGGCACAGCAACCCCAGGCACCGCTGCAGGCGTGGGGAGGAGCGGCTGGGAGCTGCCCGGCGGGAAAGGGCTCCAATGGCCACAAGGTCGCTGCAAGAGCAACGCAATGAGCTCTTGCTGTCAGCCGTAATCAGAACGGTGGGCTGCAGTTGTGCCCACAGATCAGCATACATCTTTTGAGGCTACAATGAAGATGATTTCATTGTCTAGCCCACTGAGATCCCCAGCACAAAGCCATTTATTTGGATATGTACTGGGTTTGGAGAAGAGGAGGCTGAGGGGAGCCCTCATCGCTCTCTGCAACCGCCTGAAAGGAGGCTGGAGCCGGGGGGGTCGGTCTCTTCTCCCCAGGAACAAGCGATGGGACGAGAGGGAACGGCCTCAAGCTGCGCCAGGGCAGGTTTGGGTTGGGTATTAGGGAAAGTTCCTTCCCCAAAGGGCTGTCAGGCCCTGGCCCAGGCTGCCCAGGGCAGGGGCTGAGTCCCCATCCCTGGAGGGATTGAAAAGCCGGGGAGATGTGGTGCTTGGGGACATGGTTTAGTGGTGGCCTTGGCAGCGCTGGGTTGATGGTTGGACTCGAGGATCTTAAGGGTCTTTTCTAACCCAAACCATTCTATGATTCTATGATGTATTGTGAAGAATTTTCTTACTTACGTCTAATTGGAATTTCCCTTGCTGCAGCTTGTGTCCTTTCCCTGTACACCCCCGAGACAAGTCTGGGGTCACCTTCACTATAACCACTAAATAATTAGCTGAAGACTGCGTTTTAGATTCCCTCCTCAGTCTCCTCCAGGCTGGATGAGTCCAGTTAACCCAGTATCTCCTTTTGCACCATGTTCTCCTGCCACGTCACCATTTTGGTGGCCTCCACTGGGCTAGCACAGGCTGGTGAGGCTGGCAGGCACCTCTGGAGGTCCTCTGGTCCCCCCGCCGCCCACGCTGGACTCAGGATGAGGAAGGGTGGCTGCTTCTTCCCCAGGCTAGATGTGGGTGACTGGGACGGAGGGACGCAGTTGTCTTCCCGGGAGGTGGCAATTTATTGCTTCTGTAGGCCGAGCTCATTGCACCCACTGAAATTACTTCCACCTCTGGCTACAGAAAATAGTTTTCCCTGCTTAGCAGCTAGTAAGAGCGCAAAATCCTTGCATCCCAGCAGGTCTTCAGGAAGTGAAAAAAAAATCCATGACACCTCTGCCAGGATTTGGGGCGGTTTTGCTTTGAAAGGCTGCAAGAGTAGAAAGCGTTCTCAAGGTAGGATTGTGTGCAGGGCTGGAGGAATCTCGCTAAGGTAGGCAAAGGGACTTGTGAAACGGTCAGCATCCAGAAGAGCTCGGTGCTTCCATCACCCTTCACTTGGTGCCTGCTGGCTGCTTAGATTTTGTGCCTCTAAATGAGTTAAGTTCTATAAAAGCTTATTGTTCTGGCTCCTTAAAACTGAGGGTGACTGCACAGGGAAATCCACCTCTGGATAAGCGTGTAGCATGAATCTGAAGTGTTTCCCTTAGATTTCTGGACTTACTCAGGCATCAACATCAAAATAATTTAGTGAAAAAATCGTCACCTGTTCAACTCATTCTGCTTTGTTTATCCCATAGACTCAATTTTATTATTTTAGTTTCTGTCTGTCTCGGCCTCAGTCAGGCGCAGGATGGGTGCAGTGTGTATCTCCCCCAGGCTTTTGTTTTCAGCAGGTCATTTGTGACGAGCTGGTGCTACATGTCGTTCAGAGGGACTAAAACCGATTGCTGCTTGTGAGAGAGAAGAGGCTGCGCTGTGTCTCCGGATTGTGCCTTGCGCTGGGCATTTTTACCTCTGGTGTATTACGACATGATTTTATTATTTCTTTTTCTCTTCCCTTCCATTGCGCAGTGAAATGATAATAATTAGCCGTTGTATTTTTGTCGGGCTAATAGCAAATCTGACAAGCTTTGCTTCTGATTTCATTGTTCTTTTTCAGCCTTTGGTTGTTCAGCCTGAAGCCTTGTCTTTAGCTGTTGCTTGTCTCCTCCTTGGCCTTTGATGATTCAGGCTAATCCCGAGCGAAGGGGGCAGAGTATTGCATGAAAACAATCCCAAGGCCTTCATATTTATTCTGGCAATATTGCAAGAAAAGTTCAGCTATAAACGGGGAAAATACGTCAGAAATTGAAGGCCTGATAGATGGTTGTGCATCAGACGACAAAAAGACAGAAGTTACGTGGTCAGAAAGCCCAGGAAACTCGGGTCTCCGGTTCATTTTGGTGCTGACTGTTCCCACTTGTTGGTCAACGTCTCTGTAACGGCCGTCTTGCTTTTTCTACCAGTTCAATTCTAATACGGTTTTAATCACTTTTGAGAACCTCTGGAGCTGAAAACATTATTCCAAACTCTCTGAAACCTCAGTTTCTCAACTTCCAAATAGTTTGAAGTCTTTGTTGTGGGATAGCTGCTACAATCATCTGAAGATTGTAGTAGCAAAGGAGCAAGAAGATAAATGTTTCGTAGCTGTTTTGGCATCTCATTGCTACTATTAAAAGCCCTTTGAGGACCAGTGAAGTTAATGACAAATGTTGGAAATGGTTTAAATCTTAATGAAGAAAATGAGGTGATTAGTATAGGGTTTGGGTCAGGAAAGCAGCCATCTGAATACAACGAATGTCTCATTTTTGTGCGGGCTGCAGAATGGTTGAGACATGGCTCTGCTTAATGTTTTTAGCACTACTGACTTTCAGGTGATGGAGAGTCATTCAGGTGAGGTCCTGCAAGAAATTCCCTTCTTTTTCTCCCAGCATTTTTAGTTGCGTTATCTCTTGTGTTGGGGAAATACATCCAACATTTCCTATGGAAGCTAAAGCCCTCTTGCATTGCGACTGCGTCTCCTGTCCTGCAGAGGTTGGATTAAGCTGGAGTGGGCTCATTTTTCATGACCCATTCATTTTTCGAGCTCTTCTGTCTGAAAGCCTAGTTAAAAAAAAAAAAAAAAAAAAAAGCACAATGTTTCTTGCTTATGTCTTAACCATAGTTACCCGCTGCTGAAGCTGCCGCTGCCTGGAACAGGACCTGTGGAGTACAGCACCCCCGTGAAGGATTACTCTCCGCCCTCTCCCGACGCGCGTCTGCAGCACGGGGATCTCGGCGAGCGTCCTGACTGGGTGAGTCCTGCAGTGGGGGTGGCTGGGTGTGCAGGGGGGAGATGAGATGGTGAAACATCCCTGCTGTGTTACCTACCCCTTACTGCAATCAACGGAAAGTATTTCTGGTGACGTGTTCCTTTGTGTAACTGCTAAGTTTAGGCTGTATTTGTCTTGTGTTAGTCTTACTCTATCAGAAGAACGGACACTAGGCGTTTGCAAGGCTTAAGAGCTTTGAAATGCTGTTTAAGAGCCCATTTTTCAAGGATGACTTTATCTAATGCGAGTAGTACACTTTTTAAAGCATTATTAGGTTTTAAATAAGTTTAATGACGGGTTCTGGCATAACAGGCCCCAATTTCCTAATGTCATACGAAGGCATGCAGTTTTAGAGCAGCAGGACGAGCCTCCTGCTGACACACACCGCTTCGTGGACCTGCCCTTGGCCTCCTCTGAAGGGTGAGAATAGGATTTAGTCAGCCTTCACTGCTGCAACTGTCTGTGGAGGTGCTACCAGTAATTACGATGGTGGCTTTGGTGTTGTCAGGCTCTCTCTGGAGGGATCTGGATTCTGGCTTATCAACCAGCTTATCCTTTGAAGATCACTAACGAGCTGTCAGAATGGAAATGTCTGTCTGGCCTGGAGGTGGAAGACAGACTGCCCAGCTCCTCAGCGCCTGCAATTTTCTCTCCTTTGGCTTTAAAATACTGCATCTAGCAGGGTTTTTTCTGATGATGTAGGTAGTCTAGGCTTCACCTCCAAGACATGGGCTTTTTTCTTAAGGTCACATTCAAGAGTTTTTCATTTGAATTAGAATTTAGACAGCCACAGATTCTGTCTGTGGAGCTAGCTTCTACAGTGTGGCCCAGGGAGTGTAGGGATGCTTGAGGAACCTGGTGACTTGGGTGTAATCTAAAGGTTGGGTTGGGTTGGGTTTGGTTTGGTTTTTTAATTGGCTGGTATGTATCGTGCAGGTAAACTGGACTTATATCCTTAAGGGCTAGGGGTAAGGAATTAACTCTTCTTTTGCATGAGCAAACTGGAACCCTGATGCTTTCCAAGAAGGCTGAGAGCCTGGTCCAATTCTAAAGTCATCCTTTGTAACCTGCATTGTTCTTTTTCATTCCAGGGTCTCTCTTAAGTAGAAGTTACCTGTTGGATTAATGCTTTTGATGCCTCCAGCCCTCTGCTCTCTCCATGTGTGCTCTTTTCCCTGTGATTGCAGTCATTTGCTGCCTTCTACACTTCCTGGTGTCGCTGAGAGCTTTTTGCATTGTGCTGTTAACTCTGGCTGCTGCTGGCTGATTAAATCTTCCCTTCTGCTTTGTTGCCTAGTTCAGCTAATAGAGCACAAAAGTGCTGGCTGCCACGGCCTGTCAGCGCTGCAGTCCCCAGAGCAGGGTCAGCACCCTGGGCACAGAGACCAGGAAGATTTAAATGGCACACAGCAGAATCAGCACAGGTTGGGGAAACTGCGGTGCTGTGAGAGGCATCTGTCAGCAGGAGCTGGGAGCCTCTGCCTCACAAAGCAGTGCAACAGACTGATGCCAAAATGGTCAGTGGCATTTTGCCTCTTTGAGAAACAGACTCTTTTTGTTCTTGCTAAGTTAGTACTGTCATGTTTCACCTCTAATTCGGGAAAGGAAAATATAGTCTGGCAAACCCTTTCCTGAAAAGTTGCCAAGCTGTGGTCTAATTCTGCTAAGCAGCTTCCCACTCATCCTGTGTTTTCATTCTCCCTCTGGTTTTCCCCGCAGTATGTTGGTGCTCCTGTGGCCTACATTCAGCAGATCTTTGTGAAAGCTACCGTCTCCCCATGGCAGAAGAACTTCCTTGCTGTTGATGTATTTCGTTCACCACTGTCCCGCGTCTTCCAGCTAGTGGAGGAGATTCGAAACCATGCTCTGAGAGACAGGTAATTACTGTTCATTAACGTTTGTGTAGAAGGTAGACTGCCCGCTGTTGGACACACCCATCTTCTAAATTACTGCCTCGTAAGTCTGATTATTAGCTTTGAATTTGTAAGATTCTCAAAATGAAAAGAAAACGAGAGATCACTGCTAACAAGCGACAGCATATCCATCCTGTGCGTAGAGCAGTCTAGCCTTTGTGCTAGAGAACTTGCCTGTCCTCTAGCCACTGATAATTGTCAGGAACCTTCCAGTCAGAGTCTTAGGCAGAGGGGTCTGGAAGGGTCCTCCAAGGTTGTACCTGTTACAGCAGATAGCAGCGTCATATAATCCCTTCGTAAGCACTCAAGCTTCGTATTAAAGCAGGTTCATTTGGCCCCACTGTGCCTATTGTGAAGCTCTTCTAGAATTTCACATGGTCGGGAACCTTCTGACTTTCCACTTCGACTATATTTAGGACCAGTTTATACCTGCTTGTTTTTGTCCTGACGCAGCCTTTGTACACAAATAGCTTTCCTCTGCTTCCAGATATTTACAGGGAGAACTCATACTCCCCACCCCAAATCCTTGTTTGTTAAGATAGACCTATGAAACTCTTGGCTTACTCTGGTAAGATGGTGCTGTGTTCGGTTTGTCATCCTGGTTGCTCCTCTTGGCACCGCTGTTGTTACTGTATTGTTCCTGAACGTGGGAGATTCGAACTGTACCCAGTATTCTTGGACAAGTCTCATTTGTGTGCCGTTTTCCTTGGAAATGCCTCTTCTGAAATATAGCGAGATTGCAGGTCCTTTTTCGTGGCCAGTCACATCACTTTTACACGCTATGAAATGACTGATTAACATCTCCGTGTCCCTCTCTGTCATTTCCAGCTGATGAGCTCCCACCTTGGAGCAGAAACTGTTTTTAGTCCCCAAGTGCATGGTCTTGCACTTCGTACTGTTCATAGAAAGGGGATTAAATCTATTCCAGCCCTCGCGTCATCCACTTCGGATATTCTGTTCCTTTTCTGTATTAACAGTGTTTCTTTATTTTGTGTCATTGGCAGATCTCTCTGTATCTTAATCTGAGGTTATTAATAAAAATATATCCTGGTTCTCTGAACTGTCTGTGGGAAATTCCGCTTTGTTTTCCTCAGTGCTGGTGCTTCCCCTTTCAGCAGCTGCGTGACCGTTTTCCTGTTAACCTCATTCTTTACTGCCTCACAATTTTTGTGCTATTTTTTGTGTCTTTCCTGTGAACTAAAGCATTTTCTGTGCGGTGCTGCATCGAAGGCTTTATTGAGGCCCAAGTAGATGACATCTGCTGTGCTTTCCCCTTCCAAGAAGTTAGGCATTTTAAAGAAAAGATTAGTTCGGCATTCTCTCTTTGTAAACCAAGAACGCATTTTATAATTGTTAACTTGCCTCTGTTTATTTTTTAAATAGGTTTTCCTTCGAGTTCTAAGTTTTTACCTGTGGTCAAGTTCTTGGCTGGGTTTACTTTCTAAGGACAGAAATGCTTCCCTACTTGCCTGTCGATGTTCAGTGAGAATAATGATGCTGAGAACAGGCCAAGTGTGGTGAAAAATGGTCAGATTAGAGTCTTTGATCATTTCCTAGCTTTTCAGCCAGGAGCTTTCTTCATTCTTTGTCCTCTAACTCGCACGCGTAGGGAAGATTTGCTGCTCGTTCATAGTTCCTTAACAGCATCCTTCATTCCTTCATTTTTGAGAGCGTCCACTTTACTACTCTACCTGATGAATTCTCCTTTTTTTTCAAACCATTCCGCGCAAGCTAGTTGCCTGCTCTCGCTGTGGTAATTTTTTAGAAATGCTATTTATGCTATTAAATATGTTGTTCTTTCCTACCGGCTCACAAAGCCTTGGCACTGACATTCCTTCTGTGTTTTCAGTTCATCTCCTCCTTTATCATATGTCTAATTTCAGATAGGAATCTGTGTATAGTTGCCAATTACAAGTTAGAAACAACTCGGTCCCAGGGCGCGTGTTGTCTCCTCGTTATCTCCCCTTGGTGTTGCCCTTGATGAACAGTGATGCAGCATGGAAGCAAAATTAAACTTACCAGAAGAAAGAGACTTAAGCGCTTAGACCTAAACCTTGGGATAAGGGCTCCCGTTTTGGTGACGGACTCGGATATTTCAGGAAACATCTAACTTTGAGATAAACTCTGAAATGACCTCAGAAGTCATTATGGAATTCCTTGTTGTCAGTTGCTTTTGTCAGTATCCAAGTTAAGTGCAGCTGATTTTCTTAATATGAAAAAAACAGTGTTTTCTACTAAAGTGGTACAGAAAGAGCTGAAGAAACAGGATAAGAAACAGAAGGTGATTATATTTTCATCAGCTGTAAGATCACTGAAACTTTGAGCAGTCATCATTTGTAAAAAGTCAGCAGTGACCTGAAATTTATAGTCGCTCAGTTTGTGTTTTCTGGTATCGCTCTCTGCATCCACAGCACGCTGGTAGGGACGTTGGCTGTGTGCGTTTGCTTCACAAATAAGAACCTACACAGGCGTATCTGCAGTATAATCTGGTATTGCTGTTATGTTTCAGAGTTAGCTACAGCTGAAATACAAAACAATAGTTGTCTAACTCTTCCTGGAGCTATTACTGGAGGCATCACTGCATCAGTTCCTTTAGATTATCTTTCAGAAAGCTCCTGTTCCTATAAACGCGGTATTCTCAAGCATATTTTCTAGTATTTTCTTTTGATAGCTGTGACTTTCTGAGGTAGCTTGCCATATAGTGACAGAATATAGATTCTGGAGGGAGTGTTCGCAAAGACGTAACTCAGATCATCAGCAGTTGGTTTCCGTGTTTTCTCTTTGTAGTCATTCAAACTCCTCTAGAGAAGGCATTTACAATAAGACCTCAACTGGTTTGTCTTCTGGAGCTCTGTAGACTGTGAGACTGGGGCCAGGGAAGGCGGGTCTCTTGTATCTTAACTTAGCCTTTCTTAAATACACCCTTCCTGTGCAAATCCCACCAGTTGCCCGGATCACCTTGAGGGAATTGTTCTCTTCTGGACCAGCAGCTCTTCCTTGTCTAGCCAAAGGGCGTGCTGACAGGTTTTGTCGCTAAACTGTCACAGTCAGATCCTATTGTCAGCCCAAGTTGAGTCTTGCTTGAATTACTAGTTGATAAGGATTATGTAATTGGGTTAACATAGAATCATAGAATCATCAAGGTTAGAAAAGACCCTTAAGATCATCGAGTCCAACCATTAACCTATCACTGCCAAGTCCATCTATACCATGTCTTCAAGCACCGTATCTATCCGTTCTTTAAATACCTCCAGGGGTGGAGACTCAACCCCTTCCCTGGGCAGCCTGGGCCAGTGCTTGACCACCCTCTCGGTGAAGAAGTTTTTCCTAATGTCCAACCTAACCCTGCCCTGGCGCAGCTTGAGGCCGTTCCCTCTCGTTCTATCACTCGTTACTAGGGAGAAGAGACCGACCCCCACCTCGCTACAGCCTCCTTTCAGGCAGTTGTAGAGAGCAATAAGGTCTCCCCTCAGCCTCCTCTTCTCCAGGCTAAACAACCCCAGCTCCCTCAGCCGCTCCTCATAAGCCTTGTGCTCCAGACCCTTCACCAACTTCATTGCCCTCCTCTGGCCACGCTCCAGCACCTCGATGTCCTTCTTGTAGTGAGGGGCCCAGCGCTGAACACAGCACTCGAGGTGCGGCCTCACCAGTGCCCAGCACAGGGGCACCATCACCTCCCTGGTCCTGCTGGCCACACTATTCCTGATGCAAGCCAGGATGCCACTGGCCCCCTTGGCCACCTGGGCACCCTGCTGGCTCATGTTCAGGTGTCTGTCCACCAACACCCCCAGGTCCTTTTCCGCCAGACAGCTCTCCAGCCACTCCTCCCCCAGCCTGTAGCGGTGCCTGGGGTTGTTGTGACTGAAGTGCATGAGGTTTGGGAACAAACACAAGTTCCGTTTTGTACTAGTTACACCTCTATTAACTTCTGAACCTGTAAGGCATTTGCTTTTCCATACAATGCAGAGGAATCCTGAAAACATTTTGCACAGTTGCAGATATTGAATCCTTTGTACATTTTAGAGCCCTCTATACGCCTTAAGTAATCCACCTCAGGAAGGCTAATAAAGATTTCTGTAAAATGGCCCATCGCATATGTGGAAAGAAGCATGCAGAGGAGTTTAAGGTCTTTGAAGAAGAATTCCAGGGAGACAGTTTCTCGGTAGTCTGGAGGCATCTTAAATGTGGAAGTGAAAATTGTGGTGCCTAGGATGGGTGAAGAGTGAAAGCCGAGTGGCCAGACGGTATGCAGAGAAATGATCGTGGGGTTCTGGAGCCTGTACGCCTGTTACAGTGAGATCCTGGGCTGTGGCCCGAGGCTCTTGGTCCTTAGTTCTGAAAAACAAGAGCAGTAACATGGTGGTGCAGGGCCTTGGGGTATTCATCTCGGCAGCTTTGCCTTTTGTTTGTGAGTTGCAACATACACGGCAGCTTCTAATCTTCGTTTGCGTTTCAGTTCTGGTGTCAAAAGCTTGGAGGAAGTTTGCCTTCAGGTAACAGATCTTCTGCCTGGCCTCAAGAAGCTGCGGAATCTGCTCCCCGAACACGGCTGTCTGTTACTGTCTCCAGGGAACTTCTGGCAGAACGACCGAGAGCGATTCAATGCTGACCCAGATATCATCAAAACCATCTACCAGCATGAACCAAAGACATTACAAACATCAGCTACTCTCAAAGGTAAGAGGTTGAAGTGCCAAAGAAGCTGTGAGAAATGCCTGCCGCTTGCATTGCTGTTTTGTCTTTGGTATCTCCAACATCTAGATTGCCATTATTACCAAATTGGGTGGTGTTTTGCTACTCACAGCATCTGGAACGAAGCTACCACATATATGTCATCTCTCATTTTATATCTGTATTTGAATTCAGTTCTGTATTTGTGAAAGGTAAGTAATTCCACTCAGCCAGACTGCTTTCCCTAGATGTAAAAATAGCAGGTAACTTGTCCAAGTCTTTTTGTTCCTTGTATGCTACACATGCTCCAGCCTCTCTTTTTCCCTCACGCTATTGTCTGTCCTACTCAAAGCCTGTCTCATTGTCACAGATAAACGGACATTCATCCTGCTCCCTCTTGTGCCTTCACTGGTAGTTGCTTGCATATTCCCCGAGTTGACACTGGATATCATGAAAGTATTTTTCTCTCTTAATTAAAACAATAAGTCTGACCACGTCTGGGATCGTATAGTTTAGTGGTTCTGTAAGGCTGGAGGAAATGCTGCTCCTTTGGTTTTAAAGGAACTTTGTAGGTGTCAGGAAGCCTACAGTATGACGTGTCTGAACAGGGGGTTTGTAACCCAGAAGTGAGTTTGTTTTAAAGGTTATTTTTTGAGCATCCAGAGTGCGTGCACACTGTGGTTTGGGGCACATGGAGCCTCTCTTGGAGCGCTCATTCACACCCAAGACAGAGGTCCGCAATATCCGGGGAATTCCTGAGAGCAGTGGTACTGTTCATCGTGATGCATAATTTTTTTAAGTCTGCGTTTTAGCGCACAAGATTAACAGAAGAAACATTAAATAGTCCTTTGCAATGCAAAGTCTTGCTGGAATCTCTGGTTCAAATCACACACCGACATGCACAAAAACAAGTGTCCCAGGATTTCTTTGGCTGCATCCTTAAAGGTAATGCCCGTCTCCTCTGTCGAAGGACACATTGGGTGCCCGCTGGACGTGCCTGTGCACTAACACACACAGCACGGGGAGCAAGCAGGAGGAATGAGAGGTGCATGCAGCTGGAGGGCTACAACCTCATCCAGCTCACAGAGGTGACGTGGGGCAGCTCGCGGTACTGGAGTGCTGCCATGGGGAGGCACAGGCTCTTCGGGAAGGACAGGCTGGGAGGGCGAGGAGTTGTCCTTTGTGTGAGCGAGCAGCGGGAACGTGGGGGGCTTTGCTGCGGAGCGAGCGATGAGCCAGTTGAGAGCTCGTGGGTTAGGATTAGAGGGCAGGCCTTGTCTGGTACAGACAGGTCAGGAAGAAGATGATGAGGACAGACAACTTCCCCACTGGAAGGAAGATTTTTCTTGCGTTTAAAGGGAAATCCCGTGTTTTAACGGGTGCCCATTGCCTCTCATCCTGTCACTGGGCACTGCTGAGAAGAGACGCTCCATCATCTTTACTCCCCTGCATCGGGTATTTATCCACATTGATAAGGTCTCAGCAGAGCACTGAGAAAGTGCTTCCTATAAGAACAGTAGTTCTCGTTCAGCATTCTTCCCAAGGAACACCTCTTGTATCCCATCTTTTTTGTTTGTTTTGTTGTTATCCTCATGGTTCGTTCATTCTGTGTTTTTGCAGATCTGTTGTTTGGACTCCCTGGGAAGTACAGCGGGGTGAACCTCTATAATAGGAAGCGAGTGGTATCGTACATGGTCACACTGGGTCTCCAGCGATATGATTCCAGGTAAGGAGCTTTAGCTGTGCTATTTCTGTGTTAGGGAGCCGTTGTTCAATTCTTGGCAAGTTTGCTGTTTTCTCTACTCTGATTATTGTTATGCTTTTCTTTCATCTCCATTTTCTTGTGTTTTAGAGTATTTTAGGATCTTCTGAACATGCCATGGAAAAATAGGGTGCTGTTTTGGGGAGAAAACTTTCTGTGTTTTAAGGAAATAAAATACTATCAGTTCTCAGTTTCTCTTAAAAAAAAGTATATATAGTACCCAGAGCTGCCAACGGGAGTTCCTCTGATGATGGCTTCACCGGCACGCAGAGCTGTCGTTGCAGCCAAGGCCCAGTAGGTCTGTTTTGACCCAGTTCCTGGTACAAAGTGGTTTGCTTTCCAGTAAGCACTAATTCAACTGGTACCAACTGTGAAAACCCTTTGGCAGTGTTGGCAAAACTGGCTGGGATTGAGTGGATCTGAGGACTAAACGCTCTGCTCCGTGCTGCACAGAATTCCCCAGGGAATGCCTGGGATAGAATTGGCAGCACAGTAGTCGAAACTTGCTCTGCTGCCGCCCATGCAAGAAGCCTTCAGCCTCAAGGACTGCCATGTAGCATCTTTCATCAGCCCTACTTATGTAAAATATAGGGGATATTTGAGACTGCAGCATGTTCTGTTCCCCAGGGCCAAGATTTTGTGTGATGAGTCTTCACTGTAAATAGTTTTGCTGAGTCTTCACAGCTCTCTTTGAATCTTCATAGCAATCAAGGTCTGTGAGATTGCCACAGTACAGATGTGACAAATGTAGTTTGGGCCACAGAGGAACAGACTCAGCAGTCAGGCCTAGAGAGAACGGTGCTTTGTAAGTCTGTGTGAATCTACAGAGCTTCTTCCTACTTGATCTGCACCATCGAGCTCCTCCTTGGAATCGTGCGCTGGTTGTTGCGTACAGTGTGACATCCTCCTGCTTGCTTTTCACCTCAGGTTCCTCAGCAGCCTCCGCTCTCGCCTCAAGCTGCTGCATCCCAGCCCTAACTGCACGCTGCGAGAGGAGAACATCGTTCACGTCCACTTCAAGGAAGAGATTGGCATTGCTGAGCTGATACCCCTTGTCACCACCTACATTATACTCTTCGCTTACATCTACTTCTCCACACGTAGGTTTGTGGGGTGGAGAGCCTGGAGGGGGGAGCAAGCTAATAAGCCACCTACACACCTGCCAGCTGAATATATGTAAGGGATCAGTGGTGGGGTGCCCTTTCCCTGGCTACAGACAAGAGAAGGACTCCTGTCCGTAGCACTGCAGTTCCCTCCTGTTTCAAC